ATGCAATAGTTATCAGTAGTTTCATAAATAAGCAAAAAAAAGAAAACGTCCGTTTGTATCATATTTTAGTTACAAATAAGGTGCGCGATGAACTCTGATTGACATTCATGTAAAAAAGCTAGAAGACTAATACAAATTTTTTGTATTCAAATGTCAACAAAAACTTACAAAGTTTGATTTCCGATTCAAGAGCTTAGTGTTGACTTAAACATTAATAAGAATTTCATGTCAAACAATTTTAGTTTTGCTTGACTTAAGAAGTTATTTTTAGCATGACAGTTAATTGTCAAAAAGAATAATCTATAATTTCGATTATTTTTAATCATCGTACTGTAAAATTTATTCCAACTAGTTCTCTTCTTTCTAATCAAATATGTCCTAGATATTTCATGATGAGAACGGAAATCTATACAAATATTGTTCTAGATAATAAAAAAACGTTCTTGTTTAACAATGTCTAAACTGAATGAACTCATCTACCTATGACATAATAATGATAATGCGAAGCTTTATTTATTAATAAAAAGAATAAATATTAACACTTACAAAAAATAGCAAATAATTGTATTTATTTTCTGAATTCGATCGATTTTGAGTTTATGTTTACAATCAGAATTTACCAAGCGCTCTTTATTTAATAACAATATTAGGTAATTACTATCAAATTTCAAGTGAAATCTTCGTATAAAATAGATAATTATATACAAGTAATCGAATACATAAAGTCAATAAAATCTCAATTAGTTTACTAGTGATGATTATCTAGATAAATTAATTGATGAAAATAAAAACGAAATTTATTTCTTAATCATGTGTATCAAAAAAAAAACATTTGATCAGTTTCTGAATTGTTATATACTTTAATATCTTGAAAATACAAATCTTTCTCTTGAGATTAATTATCACTTTAAATACTAAGAATGAATATCTAGTCTTATTCATTTCTACTTTGACATTTTGTCAATTGATTTTTAGATCTGTGATATTTTGATATTGAAATTATTCAATGAAAATTTACAACTCATAATAACTATTTTTTTCGTATTGATTTCTAATGTTCTTTGATTGAAATAATACATGAATAGTCTTTATATGACAAGAATATAATTACATTTCGCACACATCATTTTTACTTATTGTAAACATTCAATGAATAATTAATTCATTTCTATTTCAATCTTACCTTCTCGTAATACTTGTGATTGATGTTCTAAATACATTTGATCGATTTCAATTTTGACTTGTTCGGTAGCATATTGCATACGTCTTTTAACTTCTTCTAATAATTGTTTTTCTTGTAATTCTAATTCTTTCCATTTAAGACCAATTGTATGTTCAATTGTATTTAATTCAGCAAAACGTGGTTTTGCTTCTCGTTCTCTAAATGTACAAAAAAAAAATAATAATAATTTCAATTTTTATTTGAATATAATATTAAATATATCTATTGAGACTTACTTTATATATGCTGGATTACGAACTAAAGATTTTTCGGGTAAACCATCTTCTTCATCTTTAATATCCCAAGGTTCAACAATGACAGGTCTTAATTCACTATAAATAAAAAAGAAAATAAATATTGATCTGTATTTCACAAAAAAGGAAACTATTTATTAACTTATTGATGAATTTCAATAATATTTAATTATATGTTCTATCTTAAACTTTAATAAGGCTCTTTTTTACTGAGGAGAAAAACTTCATCCACAACAATTACTTATTATAGATCAATTTCAATATGTACTTAGGGCAAACCAAAAGTTCGTAGAACGGTTTTAAAGAACCTTGTCGGATAAGGTAATCTATTCAGAAATGAAAAGCCAAATATATCATGTTGTAGAGCTTTTTGAGGCGCGTCGAATGGTATATAATAAATCCTGTTTTCATAAGACTTTGAAGGAACTAGAGTCAATTTACTGGTAGACGACTACATACCCATACCCACACTGACAAGATGACTGGAGATGCTACATATATGAGGTTGTAGCCCGTCAAAAACTCTGCAAAATCGTATCTGAGAAAAAATATTCTACAAATACTTTCGACTAATCCCAAGGACCACAATATTCAGTAACCTATCATACTTAGGCGAGGGTGTGAGTATGGGTGCGTAGTCGTCTATCAGTAAATTGACTCTAGTTCCTTCAAAGTCTTATGAAAACAGGATTTATTATATGCCATTCGACGCATCTCAAAAAGCTCTACAACATGGTATATTTTGTTTTTCATTTCTGAATAGGTTACCTTATCCGACAAGGTTCTTTAAACACCGTTCTACGAACTTTTGGTTTGCCCTAAGTATCATATCAAGATAATTCAAAAACAAAAACAGCGAATAGGTAATTTTAAGTATTTTCTTCTCTTCCAAAACAATCAGATTTAACTATGTTTTTTATTTCTCGGATGAAATCCTACTCGTATTATTGCTCTTTTTTTATTAGAATAAAATATAAGAAAATTCTTTTAAATATTAAATTTTATATGTTCTATATTTCTATTATTATTATTATATTTTAATATAAAATATTGTTTACCTTGTAATAAAGAAACATCGTTCTGTACATTCATTAAGACATTTTTGTGCAGATGGTTTTTTTTCAAATTCAATTATACCTTCACCAATTGATTTTCCTCGATCATCAACAATAACAACAGCACGTTCAATAGCACCAAAATATTGTTCAAATGCTTCTTTAAGTAATTCATTTGATACATTTGATGATAAATTTTTAACTTTAATTGTTGCACCTTGACTAGCAAAACGTATACGTAATGGTTTACCACGTAAAACATAACCATCAAGATCATATTTAGCTTGTTCAGCTAATTGACGTGAACTCTAGATGAAAACTTTTTCTTTTTTTTTTTTCGAAATTTATTTAAAAAAAAAAGAATGAAAACATACAAGTTTAATAAAACCAAAACCACGTGATGGATTAACAAAATATTCAATAAGTTCACCATATTTACCAAATAATAATTGAAATTCATCTTGTGTTAAATCTGATGGTACATTACCAATAAATAAACGACAACGACCACCTTGTGTTGTTTTTTTTTCATTAATTTGTTGTTGTGATAATGATATTGTTGAATCAAATATATTTGTTTCAGTTCGTAATCGTTTTTGTCCAATAGATCGTTGTTGTTGTTCTTCATCAGAAAGTTTTGTATCAGTTTTTGTCGTTAATTTATTATCTATATTCGTATTTGATGATTCTAAAGAATTATATGAATTTTCTTCAGTAGATATATTTTCTGTTGATTTATTTGGTGAATCAGTACTAAAGATAAAAATAACAAAAAAAAAAAAAAACTTATTTATGAAAGAAATTACTTTGAATCGATTGAATTTGTTACTGTTTGATTTCGTATAGAAGGTGAATTTGAAGTTGGAGGTGTTGATCTAAATAAATATGTAAACTGTTATATGAGAAAGTTTGTTTTTTTATAGAGAACATTATATCATACATTGTTGTATCATTAACTGGTTTAGTTGATTGTGAGATATTCATTTGTTTATTTAATTGAGATCTAAAATTTGAAAAAAAAAAATTTTTTTTATTTATTTATTTGTTAGAATTACTTTTGATCATTTAAAGTATTTCGTGGAATATTTCGATTTGATGGTACATTGAATCTAATCGAAATTTGATTAAAATAAAATTCAAAAAATAAAAGTTTACCTTGGTGTTGGACGTTCATTTATTAAAGGTCGTGTATAACGTGGACCACCAGTGTAATTAGCCATTTTAATATTTCAAAATAATTATGGAATTAATATCTACAATAAAAATCTTATCTTTTATTTAGAACAAAGAAATCAAAAATGTATTAATATACTTAAAATGATGGATACAATGCAAAACAGCTGTTTTGATGTATTGTTACCATTTTTTAGTTTCAGTTTTTAGTTCCTCATTATTGAACTTAAAAATTGTATTTAAACTTAAAAATAAGTTTTTAAAATATTTTTTATATAATCTTGATGAAGAAAATCTAAAAAGAAAGTTAACAGTATTATATTGATGGTAGCGCTATTCATTTGGATTGGATGTTGATAAATGAATCAATATGAGTGATTATTTTTTTTTTTCAGAAAAATTCATTCGAATTTATTATTCGACAAAACACTCAGTAATCTTTAATAGTAAATAACTTTTAATAGGAACAAAATAGAGCAGTGTGACTTTCAAAGTTCAAGAAAGGCGATGCTGCCGTTGGATAGTTTCCTGAATGATTCAACAATGTTGGTGGATGACTATATTGTCAGTCAGTAGCCTTCAGAGAGATACGCTACATCCGAATTTGTACGATGCACATTAAAATCCAATTCAAGCGACTTTCAAACTGAAGTCTTTTTTGTTGTTCTCGTGACTGAGTCCTACATAGAATCATGTAGTGACACGGTATTTTTCAAATGGTGATAGCCGTATTTATACATCTTGTTTTTGTCACAAGTTATTCGAGAAACATAGACTGCCGCGTGACTTTCAGAACACTCTGTATATATATATATTAAGTATCGGTCTAAAAGGAAGCAGAGGCTGAATTGAACAGAATTGTAGTAGTTCAAGTTTTTTTTTCGGTTTCTGATGTCGAACAATCGATAAAACATTGTTTTGATTGTTAAATTGAATATTTCCTGAAGAACATTTTCGAAATCTGATACAAGATAAAAAAATGCTTGTATTTGAGTGAAAAACTTTGACATTTGTAAATACAAGTAATTCAGTTTAGTGCATAAGTCTATCAATCTGATAGGATGAGAAACAAATGTTTCAATTTGTTCAAGTCTGATAGTAACAAACTGATTTATTCAGAGCATTATTCATTTTTGATCAAGACAAAAGATTTCACTATTTATATCCCTTATTGTTTATTAAAGAGCAATAACCAGAATGTATTAATAGAATAACAAATCACCTGCAATTAAAAATGAATAAAATATTTAAAACCTTCATTATGTCCCTTATTATTTCAGTCAATTAAAAGATTCTTTAAGGTATTGGATCAATTTTTGATGTGCGATAACGCATAGTAAATAAAACCAAAGCACCAATAGCCGAAATTATAGTTGCTATAAGTTCAAGTGCAGCAATAATATTATTTCTTTTAGCATTTTTTGGAATCCAATTATTTTCAATAACACCCCAAAAATAAAAAATAAAAACAATCCATGGTGAAAATTGATAAGCACATTTGTCTACCAAAGCTGCATTAAGATTTGGTCCAAAAAAGTATGCAAAAGCAATAATTGCTGCTAAAATTAATGCAACTGTACCAGCATTGACAATTGATAAAGTAAGTCGTAATTGAAGAAATGTATCAAAAGTAAGAATAAATCGAATACCTGAAATAATAGAACATTCAAAATAAATATAAATATTGATAAATTTAATCATAGGAAAAGTTAATGATCATTTTACAATAAACTGAAGTATAACAGAATCGCATCTATATACTTGGGACATACCAAAAGTAATGAAACTAATATTATAGCAAATTATAGAAAGTTTTTTTTCCATATGTACTTGTAGCACTAGAAGTGCTTAACATGTCTACAGTATATCATGCACTTGACTTTTAATGAATGATACTCTGTTTTTGACAATGAGACTCATTTTACAATATGGTTGTTCTACGGTCAAAATTGTTTCGTGAAGATCGAGAGAGAGCATCTGAAAAGATGAAAGGCGTTTGTTGTTTAATTGGTGAAAAACTAATTTAAGTCACAGTATCATTAAACAAATCCTCTCTGACCATGTAAAACTGAAAAAATAGCTACTACTTATTGGATACGCGATTTCCTAATTAATAACCAACGAGTCGAATTTATTCAGCTTTGTCAAAAAAATTTGGTGAAATTCGAGCAAGGAACATGGCAATTATGTAATGTAGTGCTAAGTGACGAACCATGTTTTTATCTCAAAGTAATTGGTCGAACTCTACCTATCGTAATTCAGTGTAGCTGTTTGCATTCTTTTTAAAACGACTAGTTCTGTGCTAATCTATTATGTTGATAAAAGAATAAATCATCAACTATCACTATTACGTACATAATTGTCTGAAACCTTTCATTGGTGAAATTCGGACAAAAACGATAGCTTCTCATAAACATGCTAAAATTACATGTTCATAAAGCTGTTTCGAAGTATTTCTAATCTAAAGATTTCAGAATTCTTCGTAATTTTTTATTATTCGATTTGATCAAACAAGATCGAACCTATCAAAAAAAAAACTCACAATATAATTTTTTTTTGTGGTTTGTTTTCTCTCCAAAATCTCATTATTTTTGGTACATGCTAAGTAAATCAGCAATTCTTATTCGAATGAATTATCATATTGATAGTAAGAATAATTAAAAAGTATTTTTACAAACCTATCCAACAAGCAAAGAAAGCTACACCATTTTGAGCAAAAAATCGTAAACACCAAATATCTCGATTACTAAACAAAAACAAAAAAAAATAAAGTTCAATGAATTTTTCAAATCAATTCTTTTTCAATCATTTACAATCCATCAGTTTCATAAATTTTCTTATTGATTGATATATTATTATTTAATATAAATAAATCCAATGAAAGTAGTAAAAATGATAATAAATAAACAACCCAAGTCCACTAAAATATAAAAAAAACGTTTTCAATAAGATCAAAAACAAAAAAGGAAAACTTTTCTTACAGCTACATAAGATCTTTGAAAACATAAAATCCATATTGATGGAAAAAGAAAGGCAAGAATATAAATAATATAAAACATTGGTGTTAATGTATTTGGTGACAAATATAAATAACCAATTGATGATCGACGATAAATAAATGTTAATGCATAAAGAAGCCAAGCGAGCTAAAAAAGAATTTTGTGTTTTGTTTTCGTGTCAAAAAATGATCTATAATAAAAATTTTACCTGCCATATATAATTCAATCTATTTAAACTTCGATAAACCCAATCGGATGGAGTAATATCATTGACAACTACATCTTCAGCACGTAATGTTTCATTGACGGATATTTCTGAAATATAATATAATAAATATTATATTCGATTAAATTTAAATAAACTTACGTTTATTGCCATAATCATATAATTCATTAACAGCCATATGACCAATAAATAAAAGAAGTGTACCAACAAGAAGTGCTAAACGAACATAATTATGACGATATTCGCCTGTTGCAGGTTGTTTATTGACCAACATTTTTCACAACTAAATAAATAAAATATTTAAATAATAATTTTATTATGAAACTTTTTGAAAGTTATTTCTATAGAATATGCTCATGTATTGACAGGTTTGAGCAAAAACTTTATTAAAAGTAATGTTTTGGACTAGAATATCTACAGATATTTTTGAAAACTTGTGGTTGATCTTCTTGTTGTTCTCGGCAAGAGACACTCGAAAGTAACTGAACAAAGTCAAAAATGTTTTAGTCCGAAATACGATGGTTTTTCTGAATTCTTCCGATCAGCTATGATGAAGTTTGCTTATTTTCATTGTTCAGATTTATCGACTTCGGATTGGTTTCATATTTTCCTAAAATTTTTGATGATTTACATCATTTTCTGCTTAAAACCATACTACTTTCTTAAATGGTAGAAAACCTTTTTCGGTTCTTCTCTGTTTAATATTTTCTGATTTCACAATGTAGAATTCTTCAAAGAGTTTTACTAATTGCGGAAAAAAAATGTTGTACTTTTTTTGGATGAAAACTTTGAATTTTTTTTAAGCATCTTCATGATTTAGTGTTTTTTTGAAAATATATTGATTATCTCAAAGGAAAAACATTTCTATTCTATTTACAGATAAATATTTAAGTACATAAATAAACATTTCGACTTCCCTTCCTGTAGATCCTGACCGACATAGTTAGGTATGTGTACGTCACAGAAACCTTAGCAACATCTCCTCCTAAGTCACAGACTATGACAGATATTGTCGATATACAATTACAAATTGTATACATATGTACCCAAAACAGATAAAATAAAAAATCTCTCAATAATTACTAACATCATAGTTCAACATTTTAATCTGACTGAATTTAATTAACAACTTTGTCTACTTATTCAAATATTTTTAAATTCTTCAACTTACCTCTCCAAAAAGATAAACACAATATAAGAAATGACGAAGATGAGTAAAACTGAGAACTGCGCTCTACTTCACACTTTCGTTTCAAATGATAAATCGAATAAAAAAAAAGGGGGGGGGGATGGTGTGATATTTAGAGAAAAAACAACATGAATAATAGTCCAGCTGCTGTCTTTTTGCTATTATTCTAATAAATAGAAAAAAAAACAATCACATTCAATTCCAAATATATTATCTTATGGACCCATTAATATCGTTAATCATACACGAATACAATTGAGAATCACAAAAAAAAAACCTATTTAAGTTTTAAAAAAGGAAAAGAAAGAAAAAAAAACAAGAAAATGAGTTAAATATTAGCTCCAATTCCAATATTCATCTGTTTCTATACTTGATGAAAAAGATCTTATTGATATATTTGGAGTTGTATAATTAAATGAATTTAATTCAAATAATGTACTTGATATACTAACAATAAGTATTAAAACCATTCCAATAATAAATATAAACAAAGAATAAAATAATATTTTACCAATACGTCTTTTAAGTAATATTCGTTGATATTTTCTACCATCATCAACAAATTTTGTTTTTGATAAATCAATTAACATATCAGTTATAGCTGGTGGACAAAATTTTGATGCTGCATTATGTGCATCACCACGACTTATAGCTATAATAAATTGTCGTGTTGGAATTGAAAATGAAAGACCATCAACATCAACATGTATCATTTGTTGTGATGGTATACGTTTTAAATAAATTAAATGATTACGACCACTAATATTAATAATAACACTTGTTGGAATACACGATAGATCAGAAATACAACCATTATTATTTAATGAATGTAATTGATTTGATTGTCTATTCATTAATGCAATAAGTAAAAGAAGTTGAGCTCGTATACTTGTTGGTTTATATGTTGTACTAAGTGCAAGAATATCTGGTAAACGTTGTCGAACAATTGTCCATTTTGATATAATATTTTCATCTTCATTTTTTAGATTATTATCATAATATGAAAAATTTGAATGAGATCGATCATGACGTAATTTTATCATATAAAATCTATTATTTATTAATGGATTATCTTTATTAATTAACTAATAAATATATTTAATAATAGATATTTATATACAAAACTAAAATATTTCAATACATACTTGTCGACGAGAAATAACATATCGTCGTCTATATTGATGAAGAAAAAAATTTGTATTCATAACATATGTTTGAAGATGTTTTTCAGATATCGAATAGTTGATAAATGATTTGATAATGTTGTTGTTATTATCAGAATTACTTCCTAATCACATATATAACCTTTCTTAAGACGAACGTAGGCAGTATTCATATAGTTATCTGTCTTACATGTTATTTTCAGTCGACCATAAATATGTTGCAATTGTACAAACAATATAAGAGAAAAAAAATATCTTGATTCCTATGATAATCATTGTGACGTATTTAACAGATTCGATAAAAAAAAATTCTTTTCTTTTTTAATATATATTTAATATTTGTATTTAATGAAAGATGTATTCGAAATGATTGCAAGTGTTGGATTACATCTTTTGATAATAAGTTGATCTCAATAAGATTTAAGAAAACTCCAAATATATTCATGTTTAATATTCTTCATTCCTGAGATATGATTAATATTGCAATAAAAAAGAAAAAAGGCAATGATGTTTTTACATTTACTTTGATTATTATTCATATGTTATCGTAATAATTTGAAACTAGAAATAAAATTTGTATGAGTGGAAAAACTATAGTCTCTAATGCTATCTTTAATGCATCAAAGAAACATAATGATACTATACGTAAGTCAGATATGAAAAAAAAAGCAGTTGCCTTGTATCAATAATTTATGAAAAAAGCGACAAAAACGTCATAACTTCCGACACTATTAATAACAGATCAAACGAAGAGTTCAACACTTCTATTCATTATGCAGAAAAGAGCCGACAGTAAAGCGAGTTCTGCTAATATTTAAAATATCCTAGATGAGAGTCATAGTATACATTTTGTATATTCTTTGAAATTAATGATTTTCACAAAATGAAGTACATTCATTTAGAAATAAATAAATGATGTTAGTTTATTAATACTATTATGGTTTTATAGATTAGTTAAGATGACAATAATACCATTAGGATGAGAGATGGATTAAAACTTGAAAAAAAAAGAGCCTCTTTGCATCTTAATATTAATCATATTTCAAGAACGAAGAGTTTTAAGTAGAAATATTTTCAAGTTCTTTTTGTTAGTCTCATTGAGACATAATTATACAGAAAACTACTCTAAAAATTTCTTATGAATAAAAACTTCTAAGAAAATGTTGCTTTTCTATGTAACATAGTAATGAACATTAAATCACAAAGAAAAGATACGAAACAGCATGAAATGGTTTGTTGTTATAATTATTCTTTTCTATTGAGAACTTCATTAGGATTGTTTGTTTTTAACATAAATTATTTTTATATTGCAAATGTTTTTTTTTTGTCTATGTTAAAGCATTAATTTTTTTTCAATCAAATATTAGACGACAGAAAATTTTGATTTCAAATAAAATTTTATCTATTTCATTCTTCAATATATCGTATAATAGTCTTGATATTTATTTCTAAATATTTGGCAAAAAAAAAAATCCATTAACATTCGACAATAGTCACTTATCCAATACTTAAGAGGAAAATGTTATTTCCTTACGATACATAACAATTTTGACATCAAGCACGACAAAGCTATACTCATTTGTCGAAAACAATATTTCTATTTTCAATCAAGAAACAAAAAAAAAAAAAAAAAAAAAAAAAAGAAGAATTCATAAAAATAAATCTACGCAAAATAGTAATTGCTCGTAAATGGTTGACCCACATGAAAATTTTTATTAGACTTGACATGTTCATTCTCATTCATGTTGCTAATGAAATAAAATGATTCTAAAACCTTATTTAATTTTGCACTTAGTTTTGCTTCAATAGAGCATATTCAATAAAACATTGTCATAATTTGATAATGGGCAAACGATTAATTTGGCGATAAAATGTTTTATATTAAAGAAAATTATAGGAAAATTTTCTATAATATTTTATTTTCACTTTAAATAAATTTGTATTGTTTATTCGATGATATTAGAATACGAAAAAAAAAATTTTTTTTCGAATAATTTTCTAATTGATTAAACTATACTTTCTTAGCTATTATTATAGTTTACAAAAATACAATTAAAATCTTTATCGATAAAATAATTCGATCTTCTATTTCTACATGATTTGCAATTATTTGATCATTTTCTCTAGAGATCTAACTTTCATTTTTGATTACTCATACAAATGAATGTGCATCTAACTTAGATAAACTTAAAATAGCATGTATCCATTTTCTTGAAATATATCTAAGCTAGAATTTCTCTATATGTATCTTTCATTAATATTCTTTAATATAAAATTTAAAAATAATAATTAAAAAATACAAAATGTTTGTTTTTCTTTTTTTTTTTTGTATAAATAAATCAAATTAAAACTAACTTATTTAAAATTGAAAATGGTTAAAATTTCCGACAAATAGAATCAACTGTTCCGATTAGAAAAAAAAAATCCTTGTTTCTTTTATTTGTTTTAAACATGCAAATATTACTTAATCAATACCAAAATAGTCTTTTTTTCTTTCTATTCAATATTTATTCGAGACAAATTTGAAACGATTAATTATGAACGAGACAATTTAAGTTATTGCATGTCACTTGCATGATGATTAATCATAAAAAAAAAAAAATTTTAAACTGACTTCATTTAAAAAGAAGTCGTTTAGAAATTTTTACAATGTGACATTTTTTAATCATTGAAGTATAACATTAAATCATGAATATCTTTTTATTTCGCTTGAAGTTATCTAGTAATTTACTTCTTTTTTTTGTTGTTTACTATAAATAGAATGTAGCCGCAAAATAATATTCTTCATAATCAACCAACGTATGAGCCTCTTAGTTTTTTAATAGAAAGAAAATTTATTCCGTTTTCTTGACTATTCTTGTATTTCAATTTAAATGAATAGCCTTGATTTACGTATTATCGTTGTTCTCTTTTTTTTTTTGTCAAATAAAAATTAATTTTTGATTTTCCATTCATAATTCTTACTTGATAAATACAATATGCATGAAGCAACGAGAGGAACAAAAAAAAAAAAAAAAAAAAAGAAAAAGAAAAAACAAAAAAAAAAAAAACACATCAAAACTGAACACAGAATTTCAAAAAAAAAAAAAAGCGCAAGAGAAATTATACAAAAAAGAATAAAAGAAAAACCGTATTTTTGCCACATGCGGGAGACTCAATTGCACGGGTATTAACCAATTATCACCACACAATATAACCGTACATTTTTCTGACTAAATAAAGATAATTAACTGACCAGCAGTTTTTCATGTACCTCTTTCTTGCGTCCGTTCATATGTATCATCATCATCCGATGTCATTGTTCGAGCTGCATAAGCAGCTGCAGCTGCACGTTTTTTTTTCTTTTTTCTTATTCGACGACTATTTTCATTTTTTGTTGATGATATTGATCCATTACTATTATGTGATGATTCAATATCATTTGGATTTGTTGAATTTGATGTATCATTAAGATTTCCACTACCATTATTTTCACATTCACGTAATTGTTCAAGTGTTATTATATTATAATGTGAATCAAATACAGCTGGTGTTAAATCATTTGATGCTCGAACAATACGTATTGCATGTACTTTATCACGTAATGGATTCATTGTTGAAGAATTTGATTCACGTTTACGACAACCAAAACAACTTGTTAATGATAACCATAAACTTGATGATTCATTTGAAGAATTTTTTATATTTGATGAAAAATTATCATTATGATTTATTTGTTGATCAGATATATGACGATTAGTTTTTCCACTTAATATCATATGATTACTAGTTCCACCACTATGATGTTGATAATGTCCTAAATTCGTTGTATTAACGTCCGATATTGGAAATTCATATTCCATTTTTTGTGAATTTTCACCACGTATTAAACGAGCAACATTAGGCGATTGTCTACGAAATGATGAATGATCATTAAAACCGCCGATACCACCGATTTCGGACGATTGAGACGATTCGGCAGTGCCCATCTTGACATCCTAACAAAAAGAAGAAAGAATAATAACATTACAAACTCTCCGAAAAAAATAAATTAGGAATAAATCAGTCCAAGCAAATTGTTATTTTTACAAACATAGAAATAAAACTCGTTTTTTTTTTGTTTTTTTGCTTTTGATTTATTATTATCCCCATTGACTAATTTATGTATTTTCAATCAAGATCGATTTTTAATATTATAGATTATTAATCAAAAAAATAAATAAATAAATAAATATCGGAAACTAATCGGATAAGAAAAAAATTCATTATATATTTGTTTCCATGATCATTTTACAACAGTTAGTATTTTTAATGAATATATATATATATATAGGTAACAAAAATTCTATGACAATGATAAAGCATGTAAAGAAAAAAAAACGATCATTTCTTCGTTTCTTACTACGCCTTATTTCGCTTAAGCCGATTCTCATCGGAATAAAACATTATTGCTAGTGAACTATCGAGATTCTTCTTTTTCCTTCTCTCATTCTTCTTCACCTTTTTTTTTGCGGCTCGAACACCCTTACTGCATACACGCAAACACTCACATGCGAGAATCATCATGCTAGAAAAAGATCAGACAAAAAAAAAAAGGGAAATAGAAACGCGAGAATAAACATCCAAACTACACACCAGAAAAAACATTGTTCAACACAGCATTACATAGTAAAAGAATGAAAACTAGAAGAAAACTTACATGCATCCGTTTATATATTTTTCTATATAATATTCGGTTTTTCTCATCACAATTATTCATTTTTGATAGTGTCTATAATCGATATTACCAATATGCGTTTCTATATATTAGTAAGATACTTCCAGCTGTATTAGTTGAAAGGCAAATCGATATTAGAACATATACTCTTTGGTACCATTTAGATAAAATATGATGCCATTGCCTAACAAGAAAGAAAAAGGACTCATCATCAAGGATTAATCAATACGTCTTTTTCTTGTTGTTGCTATTTCAATAACTAGCACACATCGTCTTGCCCCAATCTATTTATCGATCAAGTGCTACTAATTGGAACGTGTGATAGTTCAATATAACTCTCTATTCGTATTATAGAATAAGGCGCATCTTCTATGTAATCAATAACGATTATGTCTGATTTACATGTGTAAATCATAAAGAAAAGAAAAAAAACATTACAGGAATCATATGAATTATTATTTTTCTATTGAACATGAATTGAAGAATAATAGAAATCATCTATCTAAATTGATACAAATGTCTATATAAATCAAAGAAATCATTCTTTCACAAATTCATAAAACATCCGATGACGAAATCATCTATTTAAATCATACAAATATTATTTTCCTGTCTCATTTATCTCATTTAGTTTACTTTTTGTTTCTTTCTAACATGTTAAAATAACAATATTATTTTCTCATTTATTATAGTTAATATACTAAAATGAGATAGATATTGATAAACTTTGATATACATATATATATATATATATCAGGAAAAAAAAAGAAACTTATCTACTTACTTTGGATAAGGGGCAAATAAAGAAAAAAAGCTTCTTGTTTATCGTTCTATCTAGTCAAGCGATTTAGTGCGTGTGACGTGTCGTTGAGCTACTCGCGTCGATGGATCACGAAACGACGATGATGAGCGGAATGCACCAAACACAATTATGAGACGGACGAAGAAAAGAAGAAAAAGGGCAGTTGTCTCGTTCTTTTCATCTTGATCATTTTGCTGATGCTACAACTTTTGTTATGCGTTGTGCGTTGATGATCTCTGGTCTATATTGTATAAGTAAGCTGCGCTATGCTCAATAATAGTAGCAACAGTAGTAGTAATAGCAAATTTTTTTTTTTTCTCTCTTTATAGGACTATGCGACTAGTCATCGAATGAGTGAGCCGACGGGCGAGATGTCATGTGCATGTTATTTCTCTCGCTTTCTCGGTTTTCAATACAAAATAAAAAAGAGAAGAAAAAAATAATAATAATAAGATGATCTATATTTTTTTTCCTCGTTCTTTTTTTTCTAGTTTTTTTTTCTTCTTTTGTTTGCAACAACGACGCACTAAAGCTAATTGGACCAATGCTGTTATTGTAGTTCGTTTAATATTGATGATCGCTCCGCCTTATAAAGTATGTGATGACGCACGAACAATACGACCAACGTTTGTTGTCGTTTCGAGACAGATTGATTTATTATTTGAGTTTTAATATTAATTCTTTAATATGAATATGAAGTGTTCAGTCAATATACTTATCATCAAAAAAAAAAACTATCAATTACATGTATTAGACCAAATTCTATAGATATATATATATATTAATGTATACATGAACAACAGATCAATTTAGAAATGAATGAATGAAAAAAAAAGATTAATAATGATAGAATTTTTTTCTATGAATAAAATCATTCATCTAGAAATAAAATATGAGTATACTTGAATATTTTGTTATTTAATATAAGCTCTAGAGATATTATCCTGATGAGGGCACCACATTACTGTCATATTTTGTTTTTTTTTTGTTATGAGTGGTGGTGAATATATTGTGATTAGATAAAAGAATAAAAAAGCAAAGGTCGTTTATCAAAAGTAATGTAATGATAAGCATACTTATCATTAACTAAGAGTTATGGTCGACAATATGAATAAAATAAAAGATGCTCCAGCTCCATGGACTTTGAACGGTCAAGTAGCCTATCTATTTGTTCATGGATCACGATCAATTCAAGAATCATTCAATGAAAATCCTGATCCTATTCGAAGTCCTTTTCGTGGTGGTATAGGTGGAATGTTACTTGTACGTTATACTGATTCACCCGTAGGTCCTTATGATGAACTATTATTTTTTCCTGGTTGTTATCAGTTTGGTGATACGACATATTATCGTATTTCACAGATTTATGTTTCCTCTATGGATTCAGTAATAAATGGACGACGTAATTGGAGTGTACCAAAAAAATTAGCACGATTTTGTTGGAATGATGATAATACTTATGTAAAAATTTTTTTGCCGGAATGTGATGAACCTTTTTGTAGAATTCGAGTTCGACCACGACTTTATTGTTTTCCTATGAGTAGTATTATAATACCATCAAGTTTTCGAACACTTCTTCAATCACCTCTTGACGAACAAACTGATAAAAATATTTATTTAAAGATAACACCAACATGTAGTGGATGGTTTCGACCACTTGTTGAATTAATTGAATTTCATACTGATGGAAAAGAAATTCCATCACATGAACAATTATCTTTATATACATATGGTGTTGGTTATGAAGCATTTACACTTATATTTCCTAAAGCTGAACAAGTTTTATATTAAATTTTTTGATTAATAAAATACGACAGAACATGATGGATAAGAGTGAAACTCGAAATGACATTAAGAAAAGGCGATAATAAAGCTAACATAATAAAAAAGATGGAATCGGAAGAGTAAGTTCGCCTGTCGGTTCAAGTAGCAAAGGCAAAGGCAAAGCAAAAAAAAGAAAATAATAATCAAATCTCGTCAAAACACATGATAAAACCTACTTACTTGTTGTCTACTATATGATTCACGATTTTTTAGCATTTCAATTAATATATAAGATTATCGATGTTACATTGTTATTTAATTGATAATTTTTATTATATATATATATATATATTAAATAAGACAATTTGATCAATATGTAGATTTTTGCACTGTAGGGCAAAGCAAAAAAAACCGATCCTGCTTTTCAATTTGTTGTTTGCTTCACGACTAGTATACTTTTTTTTTTTTTTGAAGAAATGAATATAGGATGCGTGTGTGACAATCGTTTGTACGTAGAAAAGAGTATCTAATGAACCTCGGGGAATATACTAAGTAATATAGCTAGTAAAACCGATAGAATCGATTAACTATTAGAAACCCTTTATGAAATTTCCCTAGACACATGAATGACGTTCATAGATAATCAATTAACATGATCACTAATTCTATACTCTCTATAGTTTAAAAGATCTCTTTAATGCGTTATTTCATAGTAATTATATGCTTTTTTTTTCAGTAGAAATGAATAAAAAAATATCATAGATCAAGACGAAGTTTAATAGAAATCTTTCTATAATCAAATGAATTGAATATTAAAATAATTATTGAAGATAACAGAAAGAAAAAACAAACAGATTTGCAATTTTTATCGATCAGATAAATTCAAGTTTGAATATAAATAAGATCAATAGATTATAATTCAAGGTTAAATTTTTGCAAACATTAAAATGATCTTAAACACTTATCGTTCTAATGATGCAGAATAATTATGTAATAAATATGAAATTATTCAATTAGAGAAACAAGAGATTATAAAGACCATACGTTCATTTTTTCAATTCGTTATCTGCCATATATATATATATATATGTATAAGTCAATTATTATGACAGACATACTTAATATAATAAGTATTTGTTTCTTTCATGGACAACACAGCATAGTAATTTATTATCTAATAATTTCATTTTTCTACAGATCAATAAACATATGGTTAGTTACCAATTGACTTTTTGATAGATTATGAATTCATCACTATTATCAATATATCGAATCAATTATGGTTGAATGTTTGTTCGTTGTTTATTTTCTTGAACAACAAAAAAAAAAATAATTATTAACAACATATGTTTTATGATATATGAAATACATTATTACGTTTGAATAATATACTATAATAAATGATGTCATAAAGTAGGGAGAAAATATTTAGAACAAAGTGCTCCTTATTCAATAATAGTTTTAAAGGTTTTTTCTATTGAGTGTAGAATTTCATAGAACAAATTTTAGTAAAAATAAATATATTTCGTAGGTATAGTCTTTATTCTTTTCAAAAATTAGTTATTTCCAAGACTAAAGAAGTTAAAACAATAGCAAAAAGATGCTCTTCAAAATATTTTAATTTTGCAAAATGAAAGGTTCGTTTCATAGTTGAAATTCTTAAATATAACCAAGATTAGAATTGTTAATTATTAATACTTAATATTAAATTAATATGAAAAGTAATGATTTGTCAAAAATGTTTTTTACTAAAAATCTAATCCGTAAAACTTTGCAATGAATGATATATAAGAAGTCTTCAAATTATTGTCGAATAATGAACAATTAAACTCAGCTTCTTTCTTTCGTCAGAGAAAATTTCTTGATGGCATAAGAAGTAAAAAACAAACATCTCTCTTCCAAAGCTTTCGAAATCACCATTGAAATATATTCAGTAAATTATCCTTGAGGATTAGTATTAAAAATAAAAAGTGTGTTGAATTTTTTAATGCTACTTTATATTACAAACTTTATTTTCTTTATTATATATTTGAAATGATGCATGAATTATTATTTAATATCATATATATATACTGTTCCTGTTGTTTTCTTTCTATTATTTAATTCAAGTTCACAGAATTCAAGTTCATTGACTAAGAGCGACATCATGAAATCTGTGATAATATTAGATAAGTCAAGTTAGTCTTACTAACATAGAACGAATAAAACTAACTAACAATAGTATAGAATAAAGTTTCTTTTTTATCAACATATTATTTTAAAGATGGCTAATACAGCTCAAGTCGAACATGAAATATCATTATTAGTTAATTTTATTCGTTCAATTGGTAAACAAAATTCTTCAACTGGTAAATATGAAACAACATTTGGTGATTTATTTCGTAATGATGAAGTTCAAAATACATTTGAAAGTTTAGCTGGAACATTAAAAGCTGCTAAACGTCGTAAAATAATTAGTTATTCATCAGAATTACTTCTACAAGGTGTTCATGATAAAGAATTAATTACATTAGAAAAAAATGATAATTAAACAAAAAAAAACAAAAGATTTCTTTTTGTAATCTGTTTGTAATCTTTTTATTATCTTTGATTAATAAACAAATCACAAATCCATCACCGATTTGTATAATAACAAAAACAGAAAAAACTACTTAGAAGACAGACGTGTTTTAAAATAATCCGGATTGCTTTCTAGTAGCCATTCTGGTTCAACTACTGTTATATCTCTAAAATATATGTTTATTCATAATTTTAATAAGAAATAAATAGATAAAAAAAAAAGTCAATAGATTCTTTACCGAATAAATCGTTTTGTTGTTTGAATTAATTCAGTAAAAACAACTAATGAAGGTTTAGCACCAAATAATACTGAACTTGGATGAATTTTAACAATATGACGATCATTTATCTACATAAAATACTAATAAATTAACTTGAATTTTTAAATTTTATTTAAACTTACTGTTCGATAATCATTTTCTTTGAAATATTCAGCTATATTCATAAATAGACCACGAGCAAGTGCTTGCCTAAAAAGAAAAAGGAAATTCAAATTATAGCTTAGCAAAATTAAAACATTTGTATCCTTGTTTGAAATAGTCCATATAGAAATAAAAAACTAAGATTTTCTTTACCTAACGAGATTATATTTAGTTCCACAAGATTTAATATTTAATTGTAATTCAATACAAATACGTCTTAATTGTTTTCGTATTGCACATGCACGTAATAAATTACGTCGATTGATTTTATTGATTTGACACCATTCCTATTTATTAAAATTTATTCATCTTGATGAAAAAAAAAATGAAATATTTACTTTTGTTTTTTTATTAGCAATAAAAGTTTTATAAACATTTAATAATGTTAAATGATCACCTTCATTCATTGTAAATTTTTGTCTTTGCATTTTCATTTTTTCATTTATATTTGATGATGTAAGAAATATTGTATCAACACTCATTATACTAACTAATTTAAGCATTTCTTCTAAACAACCGAGATCAGATGAAGCTAATAAACAACGCGAAAGTCTAGACAACAAAAAAACAGAAACAAAATAGAAAATTTTATATGAATATAAGATTGTTTTCATAATCTAACTTTGGATCAAGTGGAAAACAAGCCATTTTTCGTCCATCATCTGTTAATTCATATGTATTATCATTTGATGTTTGTATTGCACGAAGATAAGATAATTCACGTAAAGCAGCTGTTATAGATTTTTCATCTGGTTTAGAAAGAAAATCAAATGTTGAGATATTTGTTATTCCCATTGCTAGAATTTGTAATGCAGCAGTTGCTAAATTACATCGAAGTAATTCAGGAATAGGTGTTGATGGTAATTGTTCAAATTCTTCTTCTAAAAACAATTAATAAAGCAAAACTTGAATTATGTGTATACATGAGAGGAACCAGTCGTTTGTGATCACGGTTCCAACGAGAGACTCTGCTCGTCTTGCTCATATCCATCTAGAATACATGAGTTGTATTAACATGACATCTGACATATATTTTACACGACGATAAAAGATAATCATTCTCAACGACAAGTATAAGTCCTAGTTTCAGTTCCGATCTTCCTGCAACTCAGACTAGGAAAGTTAGAATCAATTATATTGCTAAGATTGCCTGAGAAAAATATAGAGTATATTTGCATAGATTCTCTCTCTAAATCATATCTAATAAGCCTTTATCATAATGAAAAGAAAACTTTTTTAAATGATGTATTTAGTGATAAAATTTGATTTTTTTTCTAATCTTCTAACCTGTATACATGCGATAACATATTCCTGGACATTCACGTCCAGCACGTCCAGTACGTTGCCATGCTTGTGCTTGTGAGATTTTTTGTACTTGTAATAGTTCAAGGCCAGTTTGTGGATTAAAAATTTTTGTTTTGACACGACCACAATCAATTACATGACGTATACCCGGAATTGTAATTGATGTTTCACCAATATTTGTCGAAACTATTACTTTACGAATATCTAAATAAATTTCGTTCATTAATAATTTATTAACAGTTCATCTGTAACATTAGCAAGTACAACAGAAAGTTTAACATTTCAACTTTCTTATATGAGAGATTTCAGAAAAATCAAGGTTTCTTAGGTGAATGTTTACGAAAGAAAAAGACTTTATATGAACAGCGGTCGGTGTTTTGGAATCGATTTCGGAGAATCATATTTTTGAATAAACAAGATTAAAAAAATACTAAAACAGTTACGTTTCAGCTGAAAAGAATGTTTTCTGGTCAAAAAATTAAGCTTACTTGAAAATTCAATATTTTGATAAAGAAACTTCAGTAAAACAATTCTAATTCAGTTCCACAGGCTCATGAGCACGGCAAATTTTAGGATTTATCTATTTTTACTATAATCTCCTTGTAGGCAGGTATTATAGTTCAGGTAGTTCTCTCGCGAGATTTAGTGCAATTTCTTCTGCGCTAACTATTTTTAATAATCCTTTTCATCTATCAACAAATTTCAAACATTTCGAATCGTTATCATTTTCGAATGTAATGAACATTTTAGGAAATATTAAATATCTTATACTCTTACTCATAGGTGTTTGTTTAAAAACAAGCATTTGTTTCACTGTTGTCATATTGGCATAAAGTGGTAAAACAATAATAGGTTCAAGTGATTCTGTTCCACTAGCTATAATTTGTTTGATAGTTTTACATGTCGAATCGATTTCATCTTGTCCTGTTAGAAATATTAATATCCCTTCATTCAATGGTGTTGAACGATGAATCTACAATTAAAAACTTATTCCATAAAGGAAAAAAAAACCTTTTTGTGTTTACTTGAAATAGTGTAACAAGTGATGCATGTATATAATCGGTTTGAACATCTTGTACATGAAAAACGTCAATTGGATATTGTCGACCTTGTAAATATAAAACTGATGCTTGATTAAAATAATTCGAAAATAAATCAACATTCATCGTAGCGGACATAACAAGAACATGTAATGGATTTTTTTTTGATTTTTTTCGATATTCTAATGCTTGTTTAACAATTCCAAATAAAAGATCTGTGTGCAACGTACGTTCATGCGCTTCATCGAGAATAATTATTGAATATTGACGAAGATTTGGATCAAGTAATGCTTCACGTAATAACATTCCATCAGTCATATATTTAATTTTTGTTTGACGACTAACAGATTCATCAAAACGAACACTATAACCAACAAGTTCACCACATTTTTGATTAATTTCACTAGCAACACGTTCAGCAACTGATATAGCAGCGACACGACGTGGTTGTGTACAACAAATTAATTTTTTGTGTCGTTGAGATTTTTTATTTGGAAAATTTTTAAATTTCTTTTCACGAGCTTCATAAAGAAAACGTGGAATTTGTGTTGTTTTGCCACAACCTGTTTCGCCTAAGAATATACAACAATCATTATTAAATACTGTTTGAATGATTTTTTTTCGCATTGAATGAATTGGAAGTTGCTTTGGAGATGTTATTGGTGTCATTGATTGAAATGAAGATGATTCTTGGCTATCGACAGCCATCGGAATATCATCGGGCGGTGCTTTTACCATCGATGAAAGAGAATTTTTTTGTTTTCTAAAAATACGAGATCATAAGATCGATTAGTTCTTCATGGTTAAATACTTTTGATTAATTCTCATTCGTTACTATAATAAAATCCATTCACGATTGAGGATATTATCATTGATTTGTAGAGTGTGACCTCTATTGACAATTTATGAAATTCACAAAGAAAAAAGAAAAAAAAGATTATACTAGGTGTTCCAAAAGTAGCTGGACGATAACAACAGTTCTACATCTGCAGTCTGATTTAATTTGTCGGCTTATTTTTTTTCCTGAAATAAAGAAATTCACCTATGAGCTTAGCCGATCTTAAAGTTATACATCTGTAGCTTTTAACATATGTACTCTTTTAGAAATCTAGGTCAACGAAATCAGCCTAGTCTCTACTTATAACTCGATAATTCTATCATTATGTCAAATATCCGCAGCTCTTTAATGCTTAGATGAGATTCAACCAAATTTTCATAACAAATAATCGCATTAAAAGACTACATCTACCGATAGGTCGTTTAGTCTTAGACTTCTTTCTTTCTTTCTTGAATTTTAGGCCTCACAAGTAAACAGAATTGCTATAGACATTATCTTGGCTTCAATTTAAGCAATCGAAACTGATGTCATCTGGTAGCTCTACATTTCTATAGTTCATATGCTACAAATCTCAGATGTCTTTGTCTAAAAATGGCCGAGATATTACACAAGTGAATAATTTTAATCAGTAATGTATTGCTTTGTTCAGCTCAAGAGGGCTAGTTTTCTTGTGAATAAAAACTTTGAGAAATTCTTCATGGTCGAAAAAGAAAACGACCTAATTGAATAAAACAGATTGGAAAGATATTGATCTTTCTTATCGTGGAAATCTTTGTCGATGAAGTGTTTACTATTGAAAACAAGTTATCTTATTTTCATAGTTATTCCTACTTAAAATTGAGATACAACAAATTTATCTGATATGATTCTTTTTGCAAACTTTTATCTATGATCCAATGCCTTCGATAACTTGTGCTTGAATTTGAACTTCTTATGTGCTATAATAGTTTAGGATGCGAGAGGTCCAGGTTCGATTTCTGGCTGGGTCCAATCTTATTTTTTATTCCATGATCTTTCACACTAAACGTGAGATTAAACTTAGATTTTGGATGATCCAAAACTTTTCTCTCCTTTTTTGAAGCCTTGCTATATAAAGCACAGTGCATTTTTGAAGGATTTTATAAAAATCATTCATTACGTTGTCATTCAATAGAGATTTATAATTCGATATAAATCGTTCTGCTGTCTCTCTAATGACGGCATGACATAGAAAAATAAGCTACTCTGCAGAGAGACAGAATTTAAGAGGAAAAAGTAAACATGTGATCCTATACTGATTTGTAATTGTTTATAGAACTGAAACTCTATGGATTATGCTGCAAGACAAAGCTTGAAACAATCAGAAAAATGTCGATCTAACGAATTTCAAATTCAATTTCATGCTTAGCTTAAAAAAATGAACGAAAAACATCAGGCCCAGCCAGGAATCGAACCTGAGCCGCTCGCTTCCGAAGCGAACATCCTACCACTAGAATACTAAGCCTCACACGTTAAATACCAATCTATTCATGGTGGAACATCTTTTTTTGTGTCGAATCCAGGATTTGATTGATATTTATTGCGAGAAACATGTCTTTCACAACAAATTGCAAAATAATTCTCAGATTTGTTTGATATGTTTGTGACCATCTCAGCAAGCAATGCAATATCTTCGTGAAACGCATGGACAATATTTACGAAAAACAATTTTTGCATTGACTCAAGACAATAGTCAGACTTTAAAGCAGTTGCTATAAATGGTTATTTTATGAGAACAGAAATTTGATCATATTGGTCAGAGCCTAGTGAAATATAAAAACGGTTCAAGAGTTCTTTATATTTGATCACTTAATTTCGTCACTATTTGCGTGATCAATCTGCATACGTTGAGATTAAAGATGCACTATCTTTAATCTTTTCCACTTCAAAGGCATGCCACCACCATAGCTGAGTACTCTCTAAAAAACGTTTTCTAAGAAACCCGTAGAGGCTCTTCAAGATACCGGCAATCGATATAATCTCTTTAAAGTATTTGTCGGATACCGATCTCGTGAACTGATAAACGAATTTTCGAGCTCACGATAGCCGCAGCGCAATACGAGTTGACCGTTTCCCAGCGACAGAACGCATTTTGAAATCTAGCCGGATCACATCGAACCAACAAAACCAGAGATCTTGTAAGTTCTCATCAGATTCAATATAACGTACTATTTGAATCAGATCAGAAAAGAATCTAAAGTATAAACGAAGAAATAGATAGTGTTTTTCAGTATGAGTCATCAATTACCATTTGAATTAGACCTAAGTGAATCTAAAATATGAAAAAGTAATTGGTTGCTGGAAAGTTTGTTACTTACGGTTCAAAGTGCTTGGTGTCTTTTCAAAACCGACAACAAAGTAAGAGTGCATAGATGGCATATTAGTATTTTCAGTAGTGTATATATAGCTTCAAGTTTTGGAAACATTTCAATAGTAGAGATGGTTCGTAAGTTAGGAGGCCATATCTTTAGTATGAGGAGATTTTTGGCTTATGAGAACGTCTAAAGCTGAGCGAGGTGAAAGATGGAAAACGAAAAGTGTGAACACTAAAAAATCGCTTTTGAGGGAGTTTCGGATCGTTTATTCGTATGTCGATGTGGAACATTCTGAGTACATCCGAAACTTCGGAAACGAATTTTGGTTTCTTAGCATACTTTTTGAAGACAGAGAATTCTGAAGAACCCGTTTGTTTTCTGCGGAAACACTTGGAAAACCCTAAAAGATTTTTTCACATATCCCAGCGGATACCTACACAATTTTCTAGCAATATCAGTTTCCTACAATACCTCTAACTTTGTTAAAAATACGATTGGGTTTCCCATATCAGGAAAAAGGTATCCCAAAATACTTTAGGAGTGTTGAAATGGGTAGTGTGGGATACCGTAGGGTTTACGAACACTCGAAAACCAAGAAGGTATTTTCGCAAACTCCACAAATGTCTGCAAAGCCTGTCGAAAATCTTTAAAAGTGTTCGAATGGGTTTTCGAACGTGTTTGGGTTTTTTGGTAAACGGATTTTTTTAGAGTATTCATGCTATGTGTGTATATTAAAGTGTTGAACAAAACGAATCTTGACAGTTATCATAGTTGAAATTTTCATAACTGTTATATCCATCGAATACATGGATTAATGTACTTAAGTTGCCCATAGAATAATTTAATATCTGTTCTACATTCATACAACAGCAAAGAATATTTATATTGCAAGTTTTACGTTGAACGAAAACACACAATTATAATCAGCTTATGAGCAATATCGAACTTATAAATGAATATGAAGAGAAAGGATTTTTTACTAAGTAAACATCATTCTATTTATGTGTATAGAAAAAAAAGTTGAGTCATATACAATACAAGATAATAATACAGCAAGAACAACTACGAAATGAAAGAAATATGGAGTAGATATATGAGAAAAAACTTTTCTTTATGGTTCTATAAGAGATCAACGTTTGGAATCCATAAACTCTGGTTATTATACACTCATAGTATATTGTCAGAGAGGTTAGAATAATTTATTTAACAAAAATGACCAAATGAATGAATAAATTAAAATGATAAATATTTTTAGGATTGATACGCGACCTCTGAAATGTTATCATTTCGATAATGTTTGCAATTAGAATTACTGCTCTACCAATTCATTTGATATATTTACCATCGTTCTTCTGAAAAAACTTGTATGTATTGTCAGATGCATTTTCAATGCATAACTTCTCTTATCCGAATGATAATATATATGATACATGACATAGAAAACGGCAACTGTCATTGTATTTACCTTTCCTTCTCTCGAAGAACTTTGACATATATGTTGAGTTTTGTCCAAATTTAGAATTCAATTAGTTCACATTTTTCTATACTCGTTCTATTCCGACTCTGTTAGATAATAATACCATTATCTTAGTAATTGACATCTACAATAAAATCATTCTGTGACATTAAATACAAAAATCCATAGTACTTAGACTAACTACAACCAACTGTAGAAGTCTTTGATTCAAAATGCTTTGGAAGATTTTAGAAATTTCGAAAATGGTTTCAGCACTGTTGTCACTGACTGACTCTTACCTTTTCACAGTTGCTAGAACCTATAGGGCGTGGGAAGCCTAAAAAATCATGATTTGAATATCTACTGAGTATGTAGTCTTCGAAAATATATTCCAGTTCCATAATAATCAACTAAGAATTGAAGTGGTTTTAATTGATTTCGAAAATAGCCCATTATAATCTACTGTATGATTACAATAGATTAAAAAGTAATAATAGATGAAATTAATTAACAGGTAATGTATGTTATCCATACAAAAAGGCTTGAAAAAATCCGATGATGATAGTTTTTTCGTGATTAATCATCGACTAAAATGGCACTATTTTCATCAGGTATTAATTAGGTTTTTCTCGACCTTTTCTTACATCGGATGTAGATATATATAAGAAAAATATTTGGCAACGATAAGCCTAAATCTTAATCTTTTATTTGCCTTGTAGCTTCTGTCAAAGCTTTTAAAGTCATATAGTTATTTTAAAATATTGCTTTTCATCATTTGCTTTAAATTTATTGATAAGCATGAAAGCCAAAACAATAAAGATCGATGAATTGCATCATTCTATACATAAACATCCGATTTTTGACAAACAGTTATATTTTAACCACGTATTAGGTGGATGGAAAACTGTTTCGCCGCTTGCATCTAAAAGCAACACAATCATTTATGAAACATCCAAACAATTTTTGACTAATTAGACATATACCGGGTGTGGCAAAAGTTTTGCGACATTTGGTGGTTTTCATATATCTCAGTTCAGACAAAAGATAAAACCTTGAATTTAATTTTGGAAGATGTGCTATTCAATTCTCTACAAAGGTGTATTTACCTTAA